AAGAAGTCACCTCGGGGTGGGGCATATGGCGGAGGAGCATTGTTTGGACGGAATCTGGTTCAAGGTTGAAAATTAAGAATTCGATGATTTATATTAATACTCCTGGCTATACAAAAACATACCTGCTAGCTCTGTCGACAGCTTCTAACAAAGTACGACCAAAATCAATACATCCTCCTTTATTAAACGTAAGACGCCATGGGACCTCACCGTAGAGTTGTGACCCAGGTATAGCAACAGCTATTCCTCTTAGATAGTTTGCACCTAATAAATTCAACTAAGAGTACTAACATCAATTAAGGCAAAAATTTAATTCAAACCAAATATTGGTTGTTCCAAATGCACGTCTTGCATAGATGAGAATGGCATCTCAAAAGAACGAAAAACTTGTAGCTCATCAGGCATGAAGATTACTCGATGTGATGTTAAGTATAACACGCCATTAAATTTCCCTTCCAAATTCTGCAAACCATTGAAGTGGTCTTGAATAAGGTTAAAGCAAAAATCTATACCTGATTCTCATTTTTCCCTATCGTCATTACAACACTCCTAGCGAAAACGAGTATAACCTCTCCATTATAGATCAGGACACCACGTCCATCTGGGGTATTTGCTGTGTTTATTGACATTTCCTAGAGTATGATTGCGCAGTTTTCCGTAATAAGACCAGTCTCCAACGGTTTTAGAGACGTTCGAAAAATGATAACGGAAGGTATGGATGAATGGAAGGAATTAAAACGCTATGTTTAACAGGAGTTGTTTGAGCAAATCCACAGAACTAAAAGGAAATCAGTCGTCAAATTTCCTGCTTTTCTTGACCACTTGCAAAATCAAAAATCAATCCATGTATCCAACTAGCGATTTTAGTAATAAGGACTACAAAACAAAACTGTACGCGCAACTTAAATAGTGATGCTAACATTATATTTGAACTGCATTACGGTCCAATAGCTATGTGGTGGTTTTAAGCGTCAGCTGCGCGGCCAAGTAACATAACATTTAATAAACACTACTCATTAGGGTCTCTAAGGCAAAAGCATCGATGGGCTGGTCATATAATGAGAAGGGCAGACGACAGATGGACACTAAGAACTCTGAAATGGATTCCCGAAGCAAAACGTTCTCGAGGGAGGCCACTGACCAAATGGGCTGATGTGTTCGTTACATGGATGGACCAGCTAAATTCTTAGCTGGTATAATGGATCTGGACCTCATGAACGTCGCCGCCGCAGTTCAAAATCAAAATCGTGGATGACGCTAGCGAGAGACAGAAATGGATGGAAACAGTGCTGTGGCCTGCACGA